TGCTGAATTAATGTACCTACTCTCACGAGACTGTACACCGTTTAACATCTTATTGCTACAGTAAACGAGAACTTTAAAATACTGTGTAACGTGACTAAATTGGCTCAGGCAGGGGCGCAGTAACAGGCTTTGAGATACGCAGAATGAACCGCTGGATTCCACAAAAGACTGGGTCATTTACTTCACGGGTTGCGCTAATTCATTAGATATTCCGTCAAGCAACTACTTACTTGTCCAACCAGTCAGCTGACTAGTTATTCCGTTAATATCCTATCCGATTAGCCAGGTGATCAGTTGCTTAGATAGCTAGTTACTATTCATATCAGATGGTCCATTAATAACCCAGTTTGCAAGCTATTAAAGAGGTCATGTTAAAAAATTCGCCCCAGAATTCTACCCGGCAATGCGGTGTTATTACATGAGAAGTTAAATTCAAGGGCACCATCAAATTAAAAGTAAGCAAACTTAATCCAACATACATACTCGTAGATATTATCATGTGATAAGTGACTATTGAATGGTTTTGAATTGATGACTCGATCTGTTGCACACTTTGACACAGCGCGTGACTACAATTTACAGTTCACTAATATACACACACTAACGTCCACAGTCACGTCATCACTGCCGTTGCTTGGCAGCGGCTTCAGTGGCGGACGTTTCCCTTCTTCTGGGATCCAGAACCATCCCCGACCTCAGTTACAAACTTCTAGCAGCAACACCTCGCAACGACTAGACCCCGGTTCTCTGACTGCAACTGCTAACTGGTCAGGATTATAACACCTCAGCAAGGACCGGGTAGAAAATGTCTCTTTCATTGTTGTTGTATTCTCTCGTTGCCGTTGAAACATTATTCTTTGCGAAGTCGCTACCTACCAATGGCTGGTGTATAGTAACTTCTTCCGCGATAGTTGCCTAGCAACGGTTTTCCAGGCCACATTGCTCCATGCTAAAGATATTTGTCCCGAATAGTCTACAGGCGTCAAAATTTCCTTCTTTTTCGAGGGATATTCTTGTGACGTCTGTGATCGGCCTCGCCTTCCTCCGCCTCGGCTCGGTTCTCATGGTGACTGCTTCCCATCTGCTCTCGCTGCTCCCTCCTCAAGGCCGATAGTCCCGAGCTGTTCCCTAATAACTTACGAACCGGTCCAGATGTAAGACGATCATCCTTGAGCTAGAGTTTCACCGGATCCTGTACACCACTACTAGGCCTATACCTTATCCTTCAATTGGACTTAATTGTTTTCTTTTAAGTTATTCTGATGTAGCAGTAAGTATTTGGACTTTCTTTAGAGGCACTTGATTTGAATCTTAGTCCTAACTTAAAATATGCTCTCGTTGTTCTAAGCATAACTAAGCATAACGAAAACTATATCGGCAAAGCATAGGTTACGACAGCTCGCGATAATATTCCCATCTTATTCTATGTTACATAAGATACGCGGCTCAAAGTGAGTCATTAAATAGCCGAAAAATCAGACACTACAGTTTTAAGAGAGCGTCTCTTCCTTCTTTGATTAATGTGACACTTATTAAAGCATAATTTATAGATTATCACAGCAAGACATGATAAAAAACATTTTTTTGTTTCGCCGTCCTTTTAACTAATAATAACAATAATAATAATAATAATAATAATGAGTTTAATATGTAAGAGCATTTCCAGACTCCAAAGAAGATATCAGGCCCCAATTTCTAAACTATACTTTCCGAAAGAGAGCCGGAAAATTTGTAGGAAAACTGACTTAAAATTCTTCTCTTAAATCTATCATAACTATGACTGGGATTTTCAACAAATATAAAATGTTCAAAACCGAGTCGAAACTGATCCTCATGATGCAGTGTGCATATTAAAGTGAGATAATTCCACATGTCTGCTTCTAACGCAGTGCCGATGACCGGAGCATTATGAACAGTATCAATTAATCAGAATCCTGCAAACCTGCACAAATTATCTTCATTCTGTACGAATGGTTTCCGAAACTGTTCGCCCCATAGAATTCACATAACCACGTTACAAGGGCAGGCTTACAAAATGCAGATAGGCATTTGAATTTGAGTGCAGAATGGCTTGTCCGGCACTGATACTGTGAACACTGTTTTGACATTAAAAATCTGAAATATCACGTTAATTAACACATTTCCGATTAGATCATTGGAATTTTTAATTGACCTAATACCTCCAGCAGCACTATGGCCCAGGGGTCGATTCGGCCTCTAACGGAAATAAGTACCACGAATATTCCTGGAGGGTAAAGGACGGCCGGCGCGTAAGGCTTACAACCTTACCGCTATCTGTGAGCTGATTGTTTAGANCGGCACTGATACTGTGAACACTGTTTTGACATTAAAAATCTGAAATTTCACGTTAATTAATGCTTAGAAACACACTGCATCAAAACGTACCAAGCATAATCGCCTTAGGCAGGTAGCTAGTTCTGTAAGTGCTTGTTTAGTTTATTAGCTTGTTACTCTGTTGGATATTCATTTACTTGGTTATTTTGATACGTGGTCGATCAATTGGTTATTTAATTAGTTAGGTGGCTAATGTTTATGGTAGTTAGTTAGTCACTGTTCACTTTATAAATTCCACATCCTTCATATTTTATTTGGAACACGCGGTAGCGTAGTTGGTTGGAACACCACGCTACAAACCGGAAGGTCTTGGGTTCGACTTCCGTTTAGATCACTGGAATTTTTAATTGACCTAATACTTCCAGCCGCACTATGACTCTGGGGTCGATTCAGCCTCTAACGGAAATGAGTACCAGGAATATTCCTGGAGGATAAAGGACGGCCGGCGCGTAAGGCTCACAACCTTACCGCTATCTGTGAGCTGATTTAGTAAATGTGAGTGCCTCGACCTCTCAAAATCCTATGGACCTCCACGGCCTGTTACACAAATAGCTTTACTTTTTTTATATTTTATTTATTCATTTTACATGTAAATTAAATCCTGAAGCACAATTTCTGTAACATAATTTCACTTAACCCGACAGCCTATATTTCGTCACAATTCTCTGATATTATCAGGGTCTTCCGTCATATTTTATACACTCTACGACTATAATTGCTCATAATTTTAGTAAAAGGAACAAACATGTATAGAGTTGTACCTGATGTTTTTATCTGCAAACAAAAATAGTCCGTCAGCTATAGAGATGGCGACTTATTAGTCCAGTCATTTAATTAGTAAATAATAGATCTTATTCCCTCGACAAAGACTAACGCCTGTCTTGCATGTTTCAGTTGCCGTATGTCCTGTCCATCGACTATGGGAACCACGAGGCACTGAGCCCCCCACAGTTGAACATCTCTAACAGGGGGCTCGTGCCCACCAGGGTGCAGACGTTCAGGTAAGAAACTCGACAATGCCTCAGTACAACTTTACACTGATTTAAGTATTTGAATGAGACTAAAATGATGTTTTTATACAGGATGCAACATTTAAAAAGCAACCCAAACATATACTACGCTACAGAAATTAAATCATGAGCTCTTCGTCGTGTATTGAACTTTCCCAAAGTTTCTCGTGAAACTGAAGTCAAAGTGACACTTATTGCTAGGCTACTGCTGGTCACCAGTTGCGCAGAAATTTTGTAATGGAAGCAAGCCATATTTAGAAGCATAAAGTGTGTTAATTAACGAACAAAATTTTGCATAAAATTAATGACGTACTTAGAAACGCGTTCTGTTACAAGGAAGTACAGATTAAGACAACGATACATTATTTTTTTAATGCTAGTGGGGTGGGACTAAGTCCCTTGTACTGCGGCCACTTCTGGCCTATTGTACCAGCCCCAGATGATAGGTGAGGGTGACTGTGGAGCAAGTGGTGGAATGAAGTTTGGCAGGGGAAACCGAAGTACTCGGAGAAAACCTGTCCCAGCGCCACTTTATCCACCACAAATCCCACTTGACGAGACCCGGGATCCAACCCGGCCGCCGTAGTGGGAAGTCAGCGACTAACCGCTTGAGCTATGGCGCGGCCTCAACGATACACTAACTGCCAACAAGGTTTCTGAAAAAGAAAGTGTTTACGATGGCGACGAAAAGTTTTGACAGTTGGGAAGATTCTTACAGCAAAGCGTACTACCTTGACAAGGGCGCACAGCGCGACCAAACAGCTGAACGTAACGAAGTTAAAGGATACAGCTGCAATAACTCAGTATTGTCGCTCGTTTCGTCGATTTTTGCGTGAAGATGTTCATGTACTAGACAATTTCTTTTGCTACGAATTGCCGTCCCACTTACGCGGTCACATATACGAGTAAATAGCCAAAGTGGCCGACTATGGAGTTCTGAGAACCCACATGCAGTGCATGAAATTCCTCCGCGTTCACTGAAGACTGGCTTATGGTTCACCGCGTCTCAAATGCGAAGTGCGGGATCTTCGTTCGCTGAAGAGACAATAAATGCCGAAAGTTAAAAGAATCTTCTGGCTCAATTTATTTCACTGCTGGAAAGCACGAAAAGTGTTATAAGTTTCCGAATGAGAACACAACTGTCCACACTGATAACTCCATGACTGCTTTACTGCAAGTGTTCTTTGGCGATCGCATTTGGGCGTGTTCTTTTGCCACTCCAATCTCCAGACCTCACGCCACTCGACTTCTTTCTATGATAATTTCTTTAATAACGAATTTATTTTAATAACACACGTAGCCCGCAGGAATAAAAGGCATTATTATATAGACTGATGCCAATACTGAGCCACAAACACTTCATAATAATTCACAATACAGACTGAAACAGGCAGATCTTGTCTTCGAGAAGGCGGTGGATATTATCAGCATCTAGTGCAAAACTGTTACGTAAGTTCTCATAAACAGTTAATGAAAGCAAACAAGTAACTCAGTTGCATTATTATGCTTACTGTACATGTAAGCTTGCATATGCCGGTCACGGTAGGTGAGCAGTCCAAGGCTCAGAAACCGGGATCTTGTGTTCGAATCCCACACAAGGCATGGATGTTCGGTGTGTGTATATACGTTTATTCTGTTTGTGTTGTCCTGTGTTTAGGTAGAGGCCTTACGATTGGCTGATCAGCCGTCTAAAGAGTATTATCGTCTGCAAAAAATGATCAGTGAAATTGAGAAATCAACCCCATGCTCCAAATTGGGAGCGAGAGAAAGACAAAAAGCTTGCATATACTGTTGCAGTTTGATTTGTGTTCTAAATGTTGTACGCTCTATAAAACTGTATACTCGAAGAACTCAATCAAACACACAAACCAGCAAGTAACTTACATGCGGAAGTGCCATATCCTCTAGAGGAAATATAATGATTTTATCATCATGGTTCGGTGATCATTATTCATGTTTTTGTCAATGATTATTTCTATGTTCAAATTAGGTGTTTCATGAAGAAAGCAGTCTTCTGGGATTTGGCACCGTGTATAAGTGGTGTTAATCGACGTTTCGGAGGAAGGTATCGCCTCCATCTTCAGCGTAGAAGAAAAAATAAGAATTCTGAAAGCGAAGAGACCGTGAGAACCGGTAAAAGCAGACTGTGCACAGTATTTTCTTCTACCCTGAAGATGGAGGCGATACGTTCCTCCGAAACGTCGATTAACACCACTTATACACGGTGCCAAATCCCAGAAGACTGTTTTCTTCATAGTCACCGCCGTGAAAGCCTCAAATCTTACATAGGTGTTTCATGCTCGTCCTTCAATATTGATGCAGGTAAGTGTGTATGATTCTGGGAAGTATATTTCTGAAGCACCATCATGACCAGCTTCATGCACACGCAAACAACAGACGATCAGCTCTGCGGTGATAGTAAAGAACATGGCAGACGTCGATGTCACAACCAATTCAGAGCAACATTTTCACTCCACTTTATTTCGCTCTGTTTCCTGCTATATGGAAGCACGTCCCAGACACATGTGTGTTTTCCCAATATTTTAAACACGTCGCTTTTATACAGGTAACGGTATAAAGTAAATTCTGTCACTGTTCTATCAAAGAACTGGCAGCCAGACGGAAGCGTACAAATGAAAGGAGAGGAAACAAGATGAACATACGAATAAACAGATAAAATATACACAGATATAATGAAAAAGATAAGTTTTAACAAAATGATACGTCCTAAACATTGTATCAAATCTCAGAATCTTTAATTACAGTGAAGCTTTACAAAAATGTATTCAATTTGAATATGTTCATTTATCTGAATCATCAGCAATTTTATATTCGGATTCTTAAAACCAATTAATATCGTTATTCATGGAGAAATCGTATGTTCTCGAATTTCTGAAACAGTAATTTCATTTTGTTAGGAAGAGGTGGGAATGCTGTACCTCTATTCTATATTTTGGCGGACAGATGACGCAGCAAGCGCCACGCTGGGTGTTTTCAATTATATCGTCAATCCCCATACACACAGGCTAATGGAATTATGGCAGCAGACCTTTGTTCTGTCGCTACCCAAAATGAACACGCTCTCGCGACAGGGTGTATAAGAACTTACGTGGCAGATCGTTAATGCATGTCAGCTCTGGAGACGTAAGATACGTACGAAGGGAAATTGAAATATACACTCCAATGGAGTGCACAAATTACCAAATGCGTACCGTGTTGCTTCCCATTTCTCATTCGGGGTAAATGTTCACTTATTGCAGACACACTTCGACTGCTGTAAAAATAATCCTACTAATGATTTCACCGCGTTAGGTGCGTCCCTTGTCAACATGGCATGGCGCCTCCTCAGGTTGTGGAAGGAGTAGACGACTTCCAGATATGGAGGATAACTGCGAATAAATTGAAGAAGCAGTCGCGGAATGCCGACAAGAGGTGATCCTACATCCCGTCAAGGCAAAAAAATAGCTTGTTTCGAAAGATCACAAGAAGCCTCGAGCCTTGGCGGATTCTTTGGATAAACGACCTAAACGGTGGAGATTTGGTACTTGGAATGTATGTAAGAAGTCTCTATAAAGCAACACAAACTTTGATTGACGCTAGTAAGGAGGTTAGTCTAGAAATAAACACAGAGAAAACTAAATATATGTTGATGTCTGGTCACTAAAATGTAGGCCAAAATCATGACATAAGATATAGGTAACACATGGTTTAAAAACATGGTACAGTTCAGATATTTGGGAACAACGATAACAGATCGAAACCTGATTCAGGAGGAAATTAAGAGGCGATTGAACTCGGGTAATGCTTGCTACCATTCAGTCCAGAACCTTTTGTCTTCTCGTCTGCTGTCCAAAAACATAGAAATTAAAATATAAAAAACTACAATTTTGCCTGTGGTTCTGTATGGGTGTGAAACTTGGTCTCTGATATCAAGGGAGGAACATAGACTGAGGGGATTTGAGAACAGGGTGTTCAGGAGAATATTTGGACCGAAGAGAGACGAAGTGACGGTAAGTTGGAGAAAACTGCATAATGAGGAGTTTCATAACTTGTACTCTTCTCCAAGTATAATTAGATTGACCAAGTCAAGGACGATGAGGTGGGCAGGTCATGTAGCACGAATGTGGCGTTAAATACAAGCTTTTATAGATGGAATATTACTAAATTCTTCGATAAACGATGTAGAAAACAGAACCGTAGCAGAAACGTACAGGAACTTCGGTTGACTTAACTGACACAAAAATAAGGAACGAGTATTCTCAGAATTAGATGTAAATTGAATTTCTTTTCCTTTATCCGAACGTCCTTTAGTGTTCGTGCTGCAGGAAGCAAACAGTGGTCAGATTAAGCAACCTAACAACTTCTCGAATAGATAATTACATTTCAAAGCTTCATCAAATGCAGACTGGCGGAGGGGAAGCTACCGACAGACAGAAAGAATAATGAACCGTGCCATATTTTAAAATGTAATGCAGTCTTTTTGTAAGAAAGTCTGAAGGACGTAAGCAGAACCATCAGCATACCGACTTCCGAACAGGATTCAAACCAAGTACATCTGTTCGGACTCCAGTTCGGTGCGTCATCATTTGATGTACTCAAGTGACGAGTGAAAGAATCGGTAGGTAAATTCACGGGTGGGAATAGAAGGAAGTCTCCACCTAGCAACAGCCCCACGACATAACGAGGCGAATCGATACAGCAACAACAGGTGAGTTCAGTTCCCCTGTTCCGGGTAAAGGGCCTACGCCGCTCTATTCTACTGTACTTAATACTAATCACAGACCATAATTAATCCTATCTCCCCCTCACCCTCTGCTTGAGGATAGGCGTATTCGTAACACTAATCTTCGAAATAAAATATTCGATACGATTCCTTTCACGAGCAAAGCTTAACTCATTAAAGTAATGTGAACTATATAAACGGAAAAGTATAGGTAAAGACATCCCTGTAACAAGCCGTGGAGGAAAATAGGGTTGTGAGACGTCGAGGC